TTAATAGTAAATTATTAAATTATTATAAATTATAATTATTAAATTATTTTTATTACAGAAGAAATTAAGGTCTGTCTTTAGTAAAGTGATTTCATTACTAGAAATGTCTTCAAATGAATCACCAAGGTTTATTAATACTCTCTCCTTTATATTTTATATTTTAAAATAATTATTATTAAATCGTGTAGTGTTGAGGATTTTAAAAGAGCTAAAGTCAGCACAATGACAAGTATTGAAGTAATAGATATTAGTACTGTAATGTCTATTGTTATTAAATATATTTATTTTTTGCTGATTGCTGTAGTCTCTTTTGCTTGAAGTTCCAGTAGAAGGTATAGTTAATGAGATATCTCAACTGGCAGTAAATGCTACACAGAGCATTGTGAAATTGGCTAGTGATGTTCATTCGATAAATGATATTCATAATCTAAAGTAATTTTAATTTTAATGATACTATGCATCAAATGTGACCCACAGTACATGTGATACATAATGTATTAATGTACAGGTTTACAGTCAAAGATGGTATTCTTGAAGATGTTAACAGTGACTCATCTGTTTTACAGTCAGTAGAAGAACACATATCAGTGAGTTCACATATTGCACTATTTATGGTACATACATGTATATGCATGGCTGTAGCACCTGCAATTAAAAGCAAAGGCTATAGCCCATGGTTTTTCCAAAAAATGACTCCAAAATCACCCCAAATTTTTATTGCATTTTCTGATCTATATTGATGTCCTTATGCTGTGTGGAAAGTTTGAGCTGATTCTGACAAATATTTTTTGAGTTATTAGTGTTTTTAAAAATGAGCCAATTTTTGAATAATACCCAAGGCTATAGCCCATGGTTTTTTCCAAAAAACGGCTCCGAAATCACCCCAAATTTTTATTACATTTTCTGATACACATTGATGTCCTTATGCTTCATAGAAAGTTTGAGCTGATTCCAACAAATATTTTTCGAGTTATAAGCATTTTTACAAACGAGCCAATTTTTAAAAAATACCCAAGGCTATAGCCCATGGGTTTTTTCCAAAAAATGGCTCCGAAATTACCCCAAATTTTTATTACATTTTTTGATACATATTGATGTCCTTATGCTATGTAGCAAGTTTGAGCTGATTCCGACAAATATTTTTCGAGTTATGGCCATTTTAAGAAAACACCGAAATTCTGAAAAATACCCAAGGCTATAGCCCATGGTTTTTTCCAAAAAATGGCTCCGAAATCGCCTCAAATTTTTATTACATTTTCTGATACATATTGATGTCCTTATGCTATGTAGAAAGTTTGAGCTGATTTCGACATCAAATTCTAGCATTATTAAATGTTATTAACAATGTTATTAGTTATTAAAGTGATTCCTCTATTATCTACAGGAAGCTGAACTTCAGTACATTTCAATATCTCAAAGTTGCCTTGGATTTAGAAAAGAAGCCAACGAGGAGTCCCTCAAATACGAGTCCCTCCTAACGGAATGTGCTCAACTAATCAACGAACGAAACACTGACGACTCAAAAAGACTCCTCATTGATCAGTGTCTCTGTTTAGAGATTGACATTGCTGTTTATGAGTCATCAATAGAGACAATAACTTCAGTAACACAAGATCTTCTTGAGGCACAGTCTCAAAATGAAACTAATGCCACTCTTTTGAAAAGCAAAGCTGATAGACTAGTAGAGAATGATATGCTAGTTGTAAGTTATAATATTGAGTCCTTCATTTTTTATTATGTCTTAATTTTAGGCTTCAAAAGAGGATACTATTAGAAGAATCGTTTCACAGAACTCAGCAGCCAAGACTGGTACTCAGAAGCAAAAGGCTGAGGTACTCACAGCTATCATGATGGATTTATCCTTATAGTTTTATTAACATTTATAGCACAGAGAATACATAGTGAAGAAAGTTTGCTCTAGTAGAAGTGATATTGAGGGAGTCCTGTCTTTCCTTATGGCAGGAGATGGAAGAGTCACAGAGAAAATTCCTTTGTCATTATTATCAAAAACATTTAGGTAAAACCTGTACATATACATGTACACGTACATAAAATTTAATATTGAGAGGTCATTTTGTGACATAGTATTATTACCAGTATTAACATACTGTAGCCTGTATTGTGTCATAGTTTTATTTGTCAGTAAAGTATGCACAGCTAATGCATTC